TATCTGTCTTTCGAGATTTTTATGTTCATGAATTTAAAAAGTGGGATTTGTTAAGTAAAATAATCTTAAGATGGTCTTATTGGAATTTTTAAGATTAGCTTATGATAAACTTCATCATCAACTTCAAGATCACGATCCCGAATCCCGTAACCCCGGAGGGTGGTACGGCTATCACATGCACCGCAGCCGTAGCTGCAATAGTGTGTTTTGGGCAAGATAGGTCTGACAGATCTCTAAGAACTCTAAATCTGGTTTGAATTCCGTGTTTTCCTTTGCCTAGACTTGTTGCCAATCAAAACTCGAAGATCCAGTCTGTATTGCTTTTTACTGGGGAAACAGAGAAAAATACCTTTCGGTATTGTATTTACGCGTAAGAACTCGACGAATTCGAACTTGTCTTTCCGATTTCTCATTCCGAGTCACTATCCATTACACCACCGAGCATCCACTTCATCAACTTAGGTTCATTAAACTACCTAATGGTTATCTTAAGATTATCACATTAAGATTAATTGGATTATTAAGATTATTAAAAAGTAATTAAGAGATTATCACAATATGAGTTTATCCAATAATCATAATCATAATCATCATCGTCCCCTTGACTTTTGTAATGGTAGGGGGAGATCCGAATGCAGAAGCCACACTGAATCTCCTCCACAACGGTCTATCAAGGGAAGCCATCAGCAATTCTGGTCTAGTCATACTTGTCCATTGTTTGACATTGTCCAATCAGTTTTTGCGTTGATGTCCTCTCCTACGTCCACCTTCAACAGTGCTTTGCATGATGGTCTTGCACAGGAAGTCATGCCTTGTAACGTGTCTATACAACGCAATTTCTCTCCGTTTGACAGCGGCGAGAAGAGGTTCCTTGTGGCCCACAAAACTTTCAACTCTTTTCTGCACGAACTCATTCGTTTTATATTTAATATCCAATAATATAACAGAACAATTCGAATATGATGGTAATAAAAGTTATGCAATTAAGTAGTAGATTCATTTTTACAATAGATCTTAACAACCATAAATTAGTTGTTTTTCTTCCCGTGTTAACTCGAGAACTTAGACTTTATCGCTTGAAGGAACATGCCCGAATGACCAAAATCGTTATTCTTAGATTTTTGGTTCATTATTAAACAAAAAAACAGGAATTGCCGAGGAGTGTAGGTAGTTAACATCGGTGTCAGAGAAAAAAAGATTACTCTTTTACAGACCTTTTTTTTGTGGGCACAAAGGTTAAACATTATAAGTATTTTCAATGTATTTTTCTTCATTATGTCCATACTGAGGACTGCAAATTCTAAATTCGCTTAAACAGAAATGTATAATAATTCTGGATTTTATTTTTGTTGTTGTTTGTGAATAGAAGTTTATGAGATCGTTTTGGGGTGTTGAATGTTCGCTCCACGTTTATTTTTAGGATTGATAAATTTTTACGCGTGCAAAATAAAGCTAACTTTAACGAGATTTCCTCGATACACACGTTGTGCAGGAATGTTTAATTTTTACAGAAAATTAAACAAAATATAACAATCTTAAAAACTGGCTAAATAAAAATCTCGAAATAAAATCGATATTTAAAAAAAAAAAAAAACAACACAAAATCAATTCGCAATATTTTAAATTAATTTCTCACTAGATGCTTCCATGAAACCCAATTAAAGATTGTCTCATGCAAAATTTGTTCTCAATTATTATCAGGATGTTTCAGTATTTACATTCGAATTAATATCCAAATCTTTATTATCACATTGCTCCGGCTGTTGGGATCCTCAGGTTTCTGTTAATCAAGATAACCTTCAACGAATATCGAACCGAAATCTTTACTTAATCTATTGCGATAGATTACTCCTGTTTCGCTGTGAATAGCGAGGTGTAAATCGTCTTATCCTTATTTAGTACTGTTCAGTTATTGCTTGCCCTATTCTCACTGAGTCTAAAAACTATACTATTGATATGTCTGTAACTAAGAAAATATATATATATATATATATATATATATATATATATATATATATATATATTATAATTATTTTTTAAAAATGATTCCTTCGCTACATAAGAGTTACCATGTTTCAAAAACAGGAGCCAAAAACCTCAATACAATTATTAAAATTAAATTGAATTAAAGTATCAAGCCCTGTTTCATCCTCAAGCGAAAATTTAGAAACGCCAGATTACCCTGAAGATCCATTTAGGTGAAACCTAGGTAGGTTGTTCATGGCTCGTTAGGATTTAGTTTATTTATTCCAGGTCTTCTTAGCGTATTGAACACTCTACGTTTTAGCTTTATCTTTGGGTTTTTTTCTTTGGACTAAAAACTTAAGGCACTGGACGATTTCTATCGCCCTGTTTGGATGTTTCTAGTTCTTTCTTTTTCTTCAAATTTTTTCCTCGATTACCAATTTGTTTTGATATACTTGCAAATTGTGCTATCCGAGTTTTTTTACTAACCGAGTATTGCTATTAATATATATATATATATATATATATATATATATATATATAAAGCTCTTATATGAATCGAGCAATCTGAGTCACTGGCGTGTTTATTCAAAAATAAATGCGTAAAAATTCACCTTCCTCTCTGCCGGGAGCTGATAGTGCAGGGAAAAAATATATATCCGACATGCCGAATCAGTTGGATTTTGATCCTGGCTTGAGGCAATCAGATGAGCTTTGATGCAATGAAACAGTTTCTCTGTGGGTGACAATATATACACCCCACCTCCGAAAACATACAATTCGGTCGAGCACTTTGGGGGAAAGCGCAAATTTGTAAGCAGTGATAGCTACTGCTGATAATGCAAAGCTCTTATATGAATCGAGTAATCTCAGTCACTGGCATGGTTATTCAAAAAGAAATACGTAAAATTTACTTTCCTCTCTGCCAGGAAAATTCTCCGACTCATGGAAAATCAGTTTCGATCCTGGCTTGAAGCAATCGAATGTCTAGCCACACTGATGAACTGTGATACAATGAAACAATCTGTCTGTGGATGACTATATATATATATACTGCGTGCCAAATTATTATCGAGATAACCTTTTTTCTAATATTTCAAAAACTGTCAAATCAATTCACACAAAATTTTCACACAATGTTGGCAACACTGACTTTCACAATCACTGAAATTTTCGTACTGATGTGCGCAATGTAAACAAACTGGCGCCATATTTGTTATCAGCATTGTGATTTGAGTGTGCCAAATTATGAGAAAAGTGTAAGAATTTAGTGAAAAGATGGGTCATAAAAGCAGTTTAAGTCATGCTGAAAAGAAAACTATCACCTCAGAACTCTCAAAAGGTAAATCTACCTTCTAAAATGATAGGGAGGTGTCATCAAACAGTGAAAAAGTTTACGACCGACCCTACACAAGTACGCAAAAGAGCAGATAAAGATAAGCCGAGTGTTATTTCACGTCGTCTCATGTCATGACTTAAACGAGAGGCCACAAAGAACCCTGGACTTACCAGTCAAGAGCTTTTCTGTCGCACTGGGATCCTACTGTGTCTAAAAGTACTCGGTGTCGTTATATGAGGGAAATAGCAACAACAGTCAAACCTGTATCGAAGCCTCCGTTGACGAGAAATCACATTCAAAATCGCTTGAAATGGACCGAGGACAATATGAAGATTGACTTCTCTAAAGTTTTGTTCACAGACGAAACTCGAGCAACACTTGATGGGCCAGAGAGATGGTGCAAAGGCTGGGTAATGAACGGACAGAATCGCCATCAGCGCTTGAGACGCCAACAAGGCGGTGGAGGCATAATGATTTGGGGTGGTATTATTGGAAAAACATTAGTGGACCCATGGAGAGTACCAGATGGCGTCAAAATGACTGCTGATGCATACATAGCATTTAGGAAGGAGCATCTTGAACCGTGGATGAAATGGCAAAGAGTTGCCTTCAGAAGGGCCATTGTTTTTATGCAAGATAATGCTCCCTCACATGCTGCTCACGAGACTAATGAATATTTGAAACAGTTAGGCTTCGATGGGCCTCGAAATATGAAGTGGCTAGCAAATTCTCCGGATTTAAACCCAATCGAAAACCTTTGGAGCATCAGGAAGCGAAGACTGTACGCCAACGGACGACAATTCAGGAGCAACGCTGAGTTGTGGAAAGCAATTCTTGACATATCTCACGGCATTACAGCAGATGACATCCTACAATTAACAAATTCTATGGATTAAGTAATTTCAAAACAGGGAAAGCACATTCCCTATTAATTTGTTTAAAACTGTACCTTTGTTTGTATCTGTTATTATTTGTTTGATTATCTTATTTATTAGCTTCTTTTGATCATAAACATTCATGTGCAACATTAATAAACGTTTTGTTTGCTCAATTCTGGGAATTTTACTAAACCTTTCTAATAATTTGGCACACTCAAATCACCATGCTGATAACAAATATGGTGCCAGTTTGTTTACATTGCGCAGATCAATACGAAAATTTCAGTGATTGCGCAGGTCAGTGTTGCCAACATTGTGTGAAAAATTTGTGTGAATTGATTGGACGGTTTTTGAAATATTAGAAAAAAGTTATCTCAATAATAATTTGGCACGCAGTCTATATATATATATATATATATATATATATATATATATATATATATATGAACTCGACTGGAATTGGAATTCTGATTCCCCAATCCAAGCCTCAATGCATTGTATATATATATATATATATATATATATATATGTGTGTGTGTGTGTGTGTGTGTGTGTGTGTGTGTGTGTTTGTGTGTGTGTGTTTGTGTGTCTGGGTGTGTGTGTGAAAGACTAGGTAATAGCAAAAAAAAAATCAAATAAAACAAAAAAGAAAGAGAAAAAAAGAAAGCAACAAAATGGAGGCCATTGTGAAACCAGCTAATGTTATTAAACGAGCTTTCCAACGGCTGTAAGTGTTGCAACTACAGATGCAAGGCGAATGTTTTCACCGAACAACAATAAACGGACTGACGTGTGGCGCGCTCAAAATAGTTAATGAC